CACTCAGGTTGTGTTACACACAGACTCACACTCAGGTTGTGTTACTCACAGACTCACACTCAGGTTGTGTTACACACAGACTCACACTCAGGTTGTGTTACAGACTCACACTCAGGTTGTGTCACAGACTCACACTCAGGTTGTGTTACTCACAGACTCACACTCAGGTTGTGTTACTCACAGACTCACACTCAGGTTGTGTTACTCACAGACTCACTCTCAGGTTGTGTTACTCACAGACTCACACTCAGGTTCTACACGTGCAGACTTCCTGTAGGCACCATTTTCTTCGAGAGGTGCAGGATCGTTTGTAAAAGTTGGCCCATTCTCTCAAACATCCAGCTGAACAACTCACAAGATGGAGCTTGATTCCTGTGGTTGTTATAACAACAAATGTTAAGTCTGGAACTCAACCCATGATCAGAAGAGAGGAGCACAGAAGGAAAGCATCTTCAAGAATTATGAAAATCCATTTGCCTACCACTAGTCTTCTGTGAGATACTCTTGTCAGATTCTGACATGTTGTTTACCTACAGGGACCATGTCATGTACTGGTCATGTGACGCAGGTCTCCACATGGTTCTCATCCATTCAGCCCAGTGTTTTGTTTACATTGGGAGTGGGCCCACATGCTAAAAATGCATTTGGAACGAATACTATAGTAAATTCTTTCAAAGTGCACCTTTTGATATAGTCTGGGTTACATTCTTGTACTTTGATTTTATTTTTGCAATGAGTATGTTTAACACATCACATACTAACATACCACTTGACTATTCTGATATGTACAATTAATATGTACCTAGTGTTTTAAACAGCACGGGAGGGTTTAAACAAAGAATTATATACAAAGTCTTGTTTGCTGCTTTGTGAGATACTTGTATTTTTCTAGTAGTCATAATGTTTATTGTATTATAACGAGTAATATACAATAAGGACACGTTTTTAAATTGAAATTATTGCTTTATTTTTATGGTAAACATTCGGTTTAGTCGCACCTCTGAAGAGGTCACTTAAAATTTTCCACTGTGCATGAGATCGACTGAAACTCCGCCCAGATCGTGACGATGTGTGACGACACACAAAAACTGACCAATAGCGTGCTGGATGGGCGGCTACAAGGTCCAAATTTTACGCGGCGCGTGGCGGGCCGAAACACCGAGAATGAATATCCCGGTCTCAACCGGTTTCAACCGGTCTGTGGTTGGAAGCATGAGCTAAGAGGACGAGCATTAAACATCCCTGCTGTCTCACAGTGCATCCGCAAATAAAACGAGACTCCTTCACTTCGTGATTATGACCCGGATTACCGCTCTCAGTGTGACTCCGTAAATTACTGCTGCTAGCTTAGCTTGACGGTTTGTTAGCCAGTAGATCTAATTCATCAATGACTTTTCCATTAGCTTGCTAACTCGCTACTAGCCTGCTAGAACTCGGATATCCTCTCACTACCAAATCTAGACATGCTTTATAGTAGATGAGGGCAAGAAGAAACATGCCGCGGTAAATCGCTTGGTACAACGTGAAGTATACAACGCAAAGGCGTTTATTTGATCTTGTTTCCGTTCGCTTTGTGTTGTAAAGGAAAGCTAACGTTAGCCTTTAGCTCACAGTGGAGTAACGTCAACGCGTGACATGAGCTAACGGTTCTCAGTTCTCAACATATTCGGAGGCTTGGCACGTTTTCCCCTCATCGCAACCTTTACTGGGATATTCTTACTTTGTTTCCAGAGGACGACAGCCCGCACCAGGTGAGTAACGCCCGAGCCGTGCTAACACAACTAGCGCATGCTAACAGCGTCCGCTAGTTTGGGAGATCGTTCCTGTGAATGTTTTGGTTTTATCTTCAATAGCGGCAGCACAAACCAAGCGTAAATGGCTCTTCTTCACTTTCTTAGACTTCTTTTTATTGCTGTAAACACGTGTTGGAGTGCAGTCGTGACGTCGGTGTTCCGAGCAGAGGCGCTGTTCAGCTGGCGGCGGCTGGCTCGACATGTTGCACGGAGTTATTTTAAAGTTACATGATGTTAAATTACTACAGACGTGGAAACATTTGTTGCACGGAGTTATTTTAAAGTTACATGAAGTTAAATTACTACAGACGTGGAAACATTTGTTGCATTTGCAGCTCTTTCAAACCAAACCTTCATTTCTTCTCAGGTGATTTAGGCAAAGTGTTCATTTTACAAACATTTGTTAGAATTGTGCGGGCTGGTTTGTTGCTACTCTTAAAAAAGGAGTATTAATAGTTGTAGTTGTGTTTTAAGTGGTGTAACGGAGCTTTGAGCCTTCCGTGAGCGCATGTGAAGGAAGCGAGCTGTGGTTCTGAGCTCCATCCTTGGACATGTCTCTGTGGAGCTCAGAAAGAAGGTTACAGATGTTCATGAAACGATAAACTACAAGATCATCCCAAACGGCTTCATGTTTTTCTCTGACCACTGCCGTCACTATTGTCAAAGTGTAAGGATTATGGGATGGTGCAACCCCCCAGGATGTGGATGTGAGAGGAGATGAAGCCCCTGGCAGGTCAAACAGGAGGAGGGAGCCAAAAAGTGCTCCAAAACTTTTCAGTCTGAACTTCAAGATCTCCGATGGCACCAGCTGTCACATTTGGAATAATTATGTCTATTCATTTTCTTACTGAAGGGTACCAACTAATGCACCTGTAGACGTTCTTGTATAGGCTCATACTCCTCTTGGGTTTTGGGTTGTATGTCTGTATGGTGTAAGTTTGGGATTGTCTCTGAGCATCTAAGGCCGTAACTGTGTTATTTCTGCAGGAAGCTCTATGCCAGCAGAAATGACAATGTTGGCCGATCATCCAGCCAGACAATTGCTGGACTTCAATCAGAAACTGGACATCACTTTGCTGGACAGTGTCGTCAACTCCATGTACCATGACATTGGAACACAGGTGAGGCTCTTTCAGGTGATATGGGTTACTCTCTTTCTTTCGGCTCTGTCCCCTGTGTGTGGGGGGGTGTTAACTTGAAGTAAAGCAATGTCATTTCACAGAAATATAGTTTGTTTTTGACTTAAACACCTAATGCACGTAAAATGTTTCTCTCTGTTCCTTCCTATAAGCAACGAGTGGCCCAGGAAGTGCTCACAAACCTGAAGGACCATCCAGACGCCTGGACACGGGTTGACACCATCCTGGAGTTTTCTCAGAACATGAAGACTAAAGTATGAACATAATATACAACTCTAGTTCTTAAAAATATGAATAATGTGGATAATGTAAATAAAGATAAAATGCAGTGGTTTTCTAATCTAAGAAAAATAATTTTACTCAATAGAATATCTGAACACGTCAAATGTTTCAACTGAGATACTGTCCCATTTTTAGAGGAAAAAAGTTGTAACAAGTATGAAGTCAAGTCAACTTTATTTATAGAGCACATTTAAAACAGAACCTCTTATCAAAGTGCTTAACAACAATCAACGAGTAAATTAAAGAGAAAAATATACAATACACTAATAATAATAACTATAGAATTAATAAAAAGCATTTAAAACACAGGGTCACAGATTAAAAAACACTAGATCAATTTACACTGAACTGTCTGAGAGAACAGATGTGGTTTAATCAGAGATTTGAAGTGAAGGAGGGAGGTGACCTGCCTGATGTTGGGGGGGCAGGTTGAAGGGAAGTGGTCTGCCTGATGTTGGGGGGGCAGGTTGAAGGGAAGTGGTCTGCCTGATGTTGGGGGGGCAGGTTGAAGGGAAGTGTCCTGCCTGATGTTGGGGGGCAGGTTGAAGGGAGGTGTCCTGCCTGATGTTGGGGGGCAGGTTGTTCCAGAGTTTGGGGCCATGACTGAAAAAGCCCGATCTCCTCTGAGCTTCTTGTTTTTGGAACAGCCAAAAGCAGCTGATCAGATGATCTCAGGGCCTGAGAGGGAACGTAAGGTTCCAGAAGCTCAGAGAGGTGAAGGGGTGCGAGACCATTTAGGCATTTGAAGGTCAACAGAAGAATTTAAAGACTATCCTCGTACGAACAGGGAGCCAGTGAAGGGAGGACAGAACTGGAGTAATATGTTCAGATCTATGAGTTAAAAGCCGAGCAGCAACATTCTGGACGAGCTGAAGACGTGAGATGGAGGTCTGGCTGACCCCAGCATACAGTGCATTGTAATAGTCCAATCGGGTTGTGACAAAGGCGTGGACTAGTTTCTCAAGGTCAGGTCTGGACAACACTGGCTTGAGCTTAGCTACCTGTCTGAGTTGGAAGAAGCTTTTCTGCAGAACAGAGTTGAGTTGTTTGTCAAACTTGAAGTCAGAGTCTAAAACCATCCCAAGATTTTTACCAGACTGCTTCAGATATGGCTGAAGAGAGTCCAGGTTGACAGGATCAGTGGTGGCAGTTGAGCTAGGGCTAAAGACGATGACTTCAGTTTTGTCATTGTTAAAACTAAAGAAATTTGAAGCCATCCAGGCCTTAATGTCTTCCAGACATTTTAACAGCGGGTGAATGGAGCAAACACTTGCTGGTTTCACATGCAGGTAGATCTGGCAGTCATCAGCATAGCAATGGAACGAAAGACCATGTTTCCTCAGGATGGACCCCAGTGGGAGCAAATAAAGTGAGAACAGAAGGTGTCCAAGAATCGAACCCTGTGGGACCCCGCAAGAAAGAGTTAATGAGGCGGATACATTATTAACAACCTTGACACAGAAACTCCTGCCATGTAACACAAAAACAAAACAGCTGGAGAAGCGTCGTGCAGCTAAATACATTTATTGGCAACAGGTCAGTAAGAGGACACGATGAGCATTTTAGACGGGCCGACTCTCTCAAAAGTAGTTGGGCAGAGGTTTACCAGTCTGTGAAAACTGTCTAAAAATAGTACAACTCTTTAAGTACAGTGGTGCAAAAAAGTATTTAGTCAGCCACTGATTGTGCAAGTTCTCCTACTTAGAAAGATGAGAGGTCTGTAATATTCATCATAGGTACACTTCATCCATGAGAGACAAAATGAGGAAAAAATCCAGGAAATCACATTGTAGGATTTTTAAATACTTTGTAAATTATTCAAGGTTCTTTGTCATTCTACCACATGTGGTGGAAAATTATGTTGGAGACTAAGTATTTGGTCAATAATAAGTTCATCTCAATACTTTGTAACATAACCTTTGAATAGAATAGAATTCAACTTTATTGTCATTGCACATGTCACAGGTACAAAGCAACGAAATGCAGTTTGCATCTATCCAGAAGTGCTTAGCAAGAAAAATAAATTAGATATATACAGTGGGGAGAACAAGTATTTGATAGACTGTTGATTTTTCATGTTTTCCCACTTGCAAAGCTTGTAGATGACTGTAATTTTTATCATAGGTACTCTTCAACTGTGAGTGATGGAATCTAAAACAAAAATCCAGAAAAATACAATGTATGATTTTGAAATAATTAATTTCCATTTTATTGTTTGAAATAAATATTTGATACACCAGAAAAATGAAACTTAATATTTGGTACAGAAACCTTTGTTTGCAATTACAGAGATCAGACGTTTCCTGTAGTTCTTGACCAGGTTTGCACACACTGCAGCAGGGATTTTGGCCCACTCCTCCATACAGATCTTCTCCAGAGCCTTCAGGTTTCGGGGCTGTCGCTGGGCCACACGGACTTTAAGCTCCCTCCAAAGATTTTCTATGGGATTCAGGTCTGGAGACTGGCTAGGCCACTCCAGGACCTTAAGATGTTTCCTACGGAGCCACTCTTTAGTTGCCCTGGCTGTGTGTTTTGGGTCGTTATCATGCTGGAAGACCCAGCCACGACCCATCTTCAGTGCTCTTACTGAGGGAAGGAGGTTGTTGGCCAAAATCTCACGATACATGGCCCCATCCATCCTTCCCACAATATGGTGCAGTCGTCCTGTCCCCTTTGCAGAAAAGCATCCCCAAAGAATGATGTTTCCACCGCCATGCTTCACGGTTGGGATGGTGTTCTTGGGGTTGTACTCATCATTCTTCTTCCTCCAAACATGACGAGTGGAGTTTAAACCAAAAAGTTCTATTTTTGTCTCATCAGACCACATGACCTTCTCCCATTCCTCCTCTGGATCATTCAGATGGTCATTTGCAAACTTCAGACGGGCTTTGACATGCGTTGGCTTGAGGAAGGGCACCTTGCGTGCACTGCAGGATTTTAATCCTTGACGGCGTAGAGTGTTACTGATTGTTTTCTTTGAGACAGTGGTCCCAGCTCTATTCAGGTCATTGACCAGGTCCTGCCGTGTAGTTCTGGGCTCATTCCTCACCTTCCTCAAGATCAATGATGCTCCACGAGGTGAGATCTTGCATGGCGCCCCCGACCGAGGGAGATTTTCCGTTATTTTGTATTTCTTCCATTTTCTAATAATTGCACCAACTGTTGTTGCCTTCTCACCAAGCTGCTTGCCTATTGTCCTGTAGCCCATCCCAGCCTTGTGCAGGTCTACAATTTTATCCCTGATGTCCTTACACAGCTCTCTGGTCTTGGGCATTGTGGAGATGCTGGAGTCTGATTGATTGAGTGGACAGGTGTCTTTTATACAGGTCACGAGTCCAAACAGGTGCAGTTAATACAGGTAATGGGTGGAGAACAGGAGGGCTTCTTAAAGAAGAACTAACATGTCTGTGAGAGCCAAAATTCTTACTGGTTGATAGATGATCAAATACTTATTTCACACAATAAAATGGAAATTAATTATTTAAAAATCATACATTGTATTTTTCTGGATTTTTGTTTTAGATTCCATCACTCACAGTTGAAGAGTACCTAAGATAAAAAATTACAGTCATCTACAAGCTTTGCAAGTGGGAAAACCTGAAAAATCAACAGTGTATCAAATACTTGTTCTCCCCACTGTATAGTACAATATACAGTAAGTTGCTTTGAATATGCTATAGGTATAAATATATACAGTTTGTGAGTGTACAGACTATGAACAGGTTATAATATGAAGGGGTATAAACGGCTATATAAAAGAAAATATATATATATATATAAGTATGTGAGTACTTATGAATAGTAGATTATGTGTACAGTTTGTACAGTAGTGGGCTAACGGATGAAATTGCAGGTGGTGGTGTTACAGTCTATGTGTTGTTGTGTTATGAGAATACAGACCGTTGTTGTTATTCAGATGTCAGGAGGCAGAGTTCAGGAGTGTGACAGCTGTGGGGAAGAAGCTGTTCCGGTACCTGGTGGTTTTAGTCCGGAGGCTCCTGTAGCGCCTCCCAGAGGGCAGGAGGGTGAAGAGTCTGTGTGCTGGGTGGCTGAAGTCTTTTATGATTTTTCCAGCCCTTTTCAGACACCGCTTCCTGTAGATGTCCTTTATGGCAGGAAGTGGTGCTCCGGTGATGTGTTGGGCGGCTTTCACCACCCTCTGCAGCGCCTTCCGGTCTGAGGCAGAGCAGCTCCCGTGCCAGACTGTGATGCAGTTGGTCAGGATGCTTTCAATGGTGCAGCGGTAAAAGTTCACCAGGATGTCTGAGGACAGGTGGTTCTTCCTCAGAGTCCTCAGAAAGAAAAGGCGCTGGTGAGCTTTCTTGGATCAGTTTGGAACAGCTGGTCGTCCAGGTGAGATCCTCGGAGATGTGGACACCCAGGAACTTGAAGCTGTTCACACGCTCCACCACCGCCCTCTTGATGTAGATGGGTGGATGTGGGCCAGCGTTCCTCCTAAAGTCCACGATGAGCTCCTTAGTCTTCTCGGTGTTGAGCAGCAGGTTGTTGTTGTCACACCACTCAACCAGACGAACCACCTCCTCCCTATAAGCGGTCTCATCGTTGTCTTTGATGAGGCCAATCACCGTGGTGTCATCTGCAAACTTAATGATGGTATTTGAACCATCAACAGGTTTGCAGTCATGGGTGAAGAGGGAGTAGAGGAAGGGACTCATCACACAGCCTTGTGGTACACCGGTGTTAATAGTGATGATAGATGAGCAGTGGTTATCCAGCCGGACATGTTGGGGTCGGTTGGTCAGAAAGTCCAGTAACCAGTTGCCCATGAGGGAACTGATGCCCAAGTCTGTTGGTTTTGTGATGAGTTTTGAGGGGATGACTGTGTTGAATGCTGAACTAAAATCTTGAACAGCATCCAGGCAAAGGTGTTTTTGTTGTCCAAGTGTGAGGGAACAGAGTGCAGCGCTATGGAGACTGCATCCTCTGTGCTCCTGTTCTGGCGGTATGCAAATTGGTGGGGGTCCAGGGTGGGGGGGAGACAGGATTTGAGGTGTACTAGGACCAGCTGCTCAAAACACTTTGCGATGATGGAGGTGAGGGCTACCGGACGGTAGTCGTCGAGTCTTGATGGTTTTGAGTTTTTGGGTATTGGGACAATGGAGGTGGTTTTGAAGCAGGTTGTTACCACAGCACGGGCCAAGGACAGGTTGAATATGTCCGTCAGTACTCCTGCCAGCTCCCCAGAACACGCTCTAAGAATATCCTGATGCACGCTCTAAGAACACGTCCAGGGATGCCATCAGGACCCGCAGCCTTGTGAACTTTAATCCTGCTCAGCGCCGCTCCTACATCGGTGGGGAAAAGTCAGTGGTTGGTGGTCTGGAGACACATGTGCCTTAGTTGTAGTTGTTGGGTTCCCTCTCTCAAAACAAGCATAGAAATTGTTGAGCTCATTGAGGAAGGAAACCTCAGAGGAGACGGGGGAGGGGTTGATGGCCCTGTAATCTGTAATGATCTGGAGTCCTTGCCACATATGTCGGGGGTTGGAGTTTGAGAAGTGTTCTTCTATCCTCCCCTTGTAGTGGTGCTTGGCCTTTTTGATGCCCCTCTTCAGCTCAGCGCTGGCTGTACTGTAGGCCTGTGCATCCCCTGACCTGAAGGCGGTGTTGCGGGCCTTCAGCAGTAGACGTACATCCTGATTCATCCAAGGCTTCTGGTTGGGGTACATGGTGTTCTGTTTCTGGGTGGTGACACTGTTTATAGTGGTGGAGATGTGGTCCAGCACAGATGAGGCGTACTGTTCCAAGTCGGTGTGAGTGAACATATTCCAATCTGTTTTTGAACCGGTCCTGGAGCACCGTGTCCGTCCCCTCTGGCCACACTTTTATTTTCCTCACAGTGGGTTTCACACGTTGGATGAGTGGTGAGTACCAAGGTGTGAGGAAAATGGAGAGATGGTCCGATTGTCCAATGTGGGGGAGGGGTGTTGCTTTGTATGCTCCAGCCAGGTTGGAGTAAACATGGTCCAAAGTCTTGTCCCCTCTGGTGTGGCATGAGACATGTTGGTGGAATCTGGGGAGGACTGTCTTCAAGTTGGAGTGGTTAAAGTCACCAGCAACAATAAAAGCAGCCTCAGGGTGTTTGGTCTGGTGTTTGCTAATGGCTGCATAAAGTTCTTTCATAGCCAGCTTAGCATTAGCATCCGGGGGGATATACACTACAGTGAGTTTGATGGAAGTGAGTTCTTTGGGGAGGTAATAAGGTCTGCATTTGACCATTATAAGCTCCACATTAGGTGAGCATTGTCTCTCGGTAGTAGCAGAGTCTGCGCACCAAGCTTTGTTAATATAAATGCACAAACCTCCACCTCTGGTCTTGCCGGAGTCCTCAGTTATCCTGTCAGCTCGGTGTGTGTGGCGTCCTGCTAACTCAATAGCATTGTCCGGGCAGCTGTTGTTTCACCATGTTTCTGTGAAAATCATGACGTTTGAGTTCATAATCCACCTGTTGTTGGTGATGGAGAGCCGGATTTCATCCATTTTGTTTGCCAAAGAACGGACATCGGCGAGAAAAATGCTGGGTAAGGGCAGCCGATGTGGTGTAAGTTTTAGCTTAGCCCGTAGTCCTCCGCGCTTTGTTGGTAATGACAGAGGTCAAAGGTTTCCTGTAAGTCTTCACCAGGTCTGCACACTGTTCATGGTATTTTGGCCCATGTCTTCATGCAGATCTCCTCTAGAGACTCAGCATTCTTCTTCCTTCAAACACGACGAGTTGAGTTTTTACCAGAAAGTTCTATTTTGGTTTCATCTGACCACATGATGTTCTCCCAGTCCTCTTCTGGACCATCCATGTGCTCTCTGGCAAACTTCAGACAGGCCTGGACATGTCCTGGCTTCAGCAGGGGGACACGCCCGGCACCGCAGGATTTGAGTCTCTTTCAGCGTAGTGTGTTACTGATGTTACTTTGGTCCCAGCTCTGCAGGTCATTCATCAGGTCCCTCCATGTAGTTCTGAGATTTTTACACACCGTTCTCATAATCATTTTGACCCCACGGGATGAGATCTTCTTTAAGGCCATGGATCAAGGGAGATTATCAGTGGTCTTGTATGTCTTCCATTTTCTTACAAGTGCTCCCACAGTTGAGTTATTGACACCAACCTGCTGCCTGTTGTAGATTCACTCTTCCCAGCCTGGTGCAGGTTCACAATTTTCTTCCTGGTGTCCTTCGACAGCTCTTTGGTCTTGGCCATGGTTGAGTTTTGAGTCTGACTGTTTGAGACTGTGGACAGGTGTCTTTAATACAGATAACGAGGTCAATCGGGTCCATTAATACAGGTAACGAGTGGAGGACAGAAGAGCTTCTTAAAGAAGATGTTACAGGTCCGTGAGAAACAGAAATCTTGCTTGTTTTTTGACCCAATACTTATTTTCCACCATAATTTACAAATAAATTCTTTAATAATCCTACAGTGTGATTTCCTGGATTATTTCCTCATTTTGTCTCATGGTTGACGTGTACCTATGATGACAATTACAGACCTCTCTCATCTTTCCAAGTAGGAGAGGTTGCACAGCCAGTGGCTGACGGTGGCCCCACCGTCATGAACAAAAAGTTGTGAACTGTTGGGGTGCGTTCACACCAGCCCTGTTTAGTCCGCTTTAACCGAACACTCTGTAGTCTGTTTGCGTAGAAAGTTTGGGGAGGTGTGACTGCAATCAAATCCTGATGTGGACGAAAGAACGTGAACTCTGGTTTACCCAAGTACCTAGGTCTCGGTTCGGTTGAACAGAACTCTAGCGCGATTCGAATGCAAACAGACCGGAGACCACTCCAAACACAGGAAGTGGACTACAGCGCAGGGCATTCTGGGTAAATACAACAAAATCAAACGTGCATTTGTCATACGGAGCTGTGTCGACCGCCTTGTGTGCAAAACATTGTCCGTGGTCTTCTGCGTCATCTTTGCTCATGCTGAGTCCATGGTTGAGAAGAGTTTGGCACATGAGCCACAGACGAAACACAACTCCTAAAACTGCTAAAATTTGACGCCACTGCGTTTTGTTTTTATTTCCAGAAGGAAGTTGCGCTCGGTGTCGTCTTCAGAGGTTTCTGTGTCGTTTCCTTCAGTAGTGTTTGGTGCAGCGCCCCCACAGGCGCGGGGGGGAACAGGTTGGCCCAGTGCAGTGTGAATGTGAAGCACAGCAGCTGAAAATGAACAAATGTTCAGGGTTTGTGTCCCAAACCAACAGAGTCTGCCGGACCATCAGCTGCGAAACGACCTTCGTATCCCAATATCGTCTACAGCTCTTACCATCCAATAATCTGAATTTCCTTATTTTTCATAAAATGACACTTTTATTTCAGTTCAAACATTTGATAGGTTCACATTTCATTGTGAATAAAATGTGTATTTATCATATTTGCAAATTACTGCATTCAGTTTTATTAACATTTTATAGAAGAGCTTTTTGGAATAAGGATTGTGCGTCAGTGATGTAGTATTTCCCTGAATAAATATAAATATACGAGTAAAACTTGTTGTTTCTTGGTAAATGTACTGATTTGGCTGCAGCCAGTTGACAAATCCTTCCTTGCTGTATTTTAATGTAGCCCAGAGCTTCTTCACTAACCAGGAGGATCTGCTGTTCTTTACTTCCAGGAGCTTTGTCTGTTTTAAAAGTTAGAAACTAACCACAACCCTGAAAGAGCAGCTTCTCTATTGTTGTACCAGACTGGGCTCAGCCAGTTATTTATTCAATAATGACTCGTAATGAGGTCTAGTCATGGTTGATTAAGGATTGTGAGAAGTTATGTGGCGTCACCTTTTAGGAGAGCTGAGTTTCCACAAAGCTCCAGGTTGTACACTGCTGTTCTGGTTTGTATTCTGTGCTCACCTTCAGGTTGTCTTCTCTCTCAGTACTATGCGTTGCAAATTCTGGAATCTGTCATCAAGACGCGCTGGAAGATTCTCCCCAGAAATCAATGTGAAGGTAAAACTGGTTGTTGACAATAAAATAACAGATTATTATGGATTAATACAGCTGTTCAGCAGCCACATGGCACGTCAGGATTTGAAGCTGACGTTTGATCTGGTGTCTGTTTGAGGACACACTTGTATCCCTCATCCAAACCTACTTTGTTTGTTTGTTCAGGAATCAAGAAATATGTTGTTGGACTGATTATCAAGACTTCTTCTGATCCTGCAAACATGGAGGTGAGGACGTGTTTGTGTTCAGCGTGGCCTTTTTACACACTCTCTAGCCTTTGTGCTTCTTTACGTTAATGATTTGTTCTCGTGTTTATTTTACAGAAGGAGGGTGTGTACATTTCAAAACTCAACATGATCCTTGTCCAGGTAGGCGGAGCTGTTGTTAAACGTGGAAACGAACAATGGCTGGCTGTGAATAATGACACCAGTAACAGGTTTTCCTGTTCTGTGCTGCTTTAGATCCTGAAGCAAGAGTGGCCCAAACACTGGCCCACCTTCATCAGTGACATTGTTGGTGCGAGTCGCACCAGCGAGAGCCTCTGCCATAACAACATGATCATCCTGAAGCTCCTCAGCGAGGAGGTCTTCGACTTCTCCAGTGGTCAGATGACCCAAGTGAAGGCCAAGCACCTCAAAGACAGGTTGTTTATCAAAAAGTGTTTCGTCCAAGTGAAAATCTTCTGGTTTTCTTTCACGTCGCTCACTTTGATCAGATCAAGTCAGAACTTTGAGGCATGATTTGTTTTAAGGTTGGCCAAGCTAAACGACAGCTTTATTTATTTATATTTTATACCAACATGGTGTATTATTACATTTCTGTTGTACTAATGTGCTTCAGTTCAGTGAGGTGAGTACCCCACCAACAAATGTCCCTTGTAGGACACTGGTCTTCATGGCTTTGCATTGAGCAGGTTTTGGTAAAGAAGTGTTAGTAATTTAAGATTGTATGCCGTTAAGTAGCTCTGCTGTTACTGCAGTTGTTTAGCTATTTACTCGGGTACAGTGCATGTGCATTGCAGTTCTTGTTGCATTTTCCACACGTTGGCTTCACTAAAGTAGGAAACACCTTGAAAGTTGAAAAATAGTTGTTTTATAACCAGAGTTTAAATTTACGCAAGTATCAGACGTATAGCAAATGATTTTAGGCATTTGACAGAAGATAAAATGACACGTGCTTTTTCTCAAAGAAAACGAGCTGCACGTGGTTTGTATAGAACGTATTTTCTGGAGTTTAAGTCGCATCAGTCAAGAAAAAGCATCATGGAGAAGAAAAACCACACATGGAGCATTTCATATGTGTCACCGCTGACCCCCGGGACACGTAGGCCCATTTTTGGCACAACACCAGCACAGGCGGCGGAGGAACGTTCCTCCACCTGCACCAGCGAACTGAAGCGAGCATGCACAAGAGACTCGCTGTTGCAGTTCTTCAAAATTTAACAAGGTTAACACTTCACAACAATGACCTCTTTTTCAGCCTATAAGTCAGTTTTTTTGCATAATTTGTTCGCCCTGTGACTTATGCCCCGAAGCAACATGTTTTATTTTTCCATATTTATAAAACAATGTTTGGCTGAGATATGACCGTTAGACTGAAAATATTCAACACTACCATTTTTAGCCACTAGATGCCACTTGAGTAATTTGGCATGCTGTTGCGTCATGTAATGGGTAAAAGTGTTCATTAATGACACAATCAGCTTGCCATAGCACCTTCGTCCAGTTCACATGGAGCAACGGTCAAATCAGCTGCATGTCTCTGCGCCGCCCCGGAGACATGCAGCTGATTTGACCGTCAAAGTGCATTTATTAAGCAAAAGTTAAACTGGGACACATCTTTGCTATAATTTTGAGCAAACAAATAATTGTTTTAAAGTGTTAATCTTGTTAAATTCTCGTTAAAGTCCTGTGCACGCTCCTGCAGCCGCCATTTGGCAGCCAGTCTATTTTTGGCACAACACCGGCCACATTTCCAGGTTGTCAGCTGTGACTGACAAGTGCAACGCGTCAGCAACGACGCATAAAAGATGTGACTTATACGGCGAAGCAACGTATTTATGCATTTTTCCACTTCATTAGACGCATTTGGACTGATGCGACTTATACGGCGGTGCCATGTGAAAATTTAAACGGCGGGAAATTAGACATTCGCTTGCTCGACATTATAGTTGTCAAAAGCCTAGAGGGCTGTCTTGCGCCTCTAGCGTCTGCAAATAGTAATGTTGACTCTGGTTCATGTCTGTATGAATGAGCATTTAAATCATCAGTCAAAAATTGCATCATGAATATGGGGAAAAAAGAAAACGTATGCAAGTTGCTTCGGCGTATAAGTCGCAGGACTGTCAAATCTATGAAAACAAACTGTGACTTATACACTGGAAAATACAGTATTTTCAGGTTGGCCAGTGTTTTATTTTTCCTCTAAAGGTTCTCTTAAGATGTCTAAGCCCAGAAACTTGTAACTCAGTCCATTCTGCCTTTGTCCCCGTGATGGTTATAGGCTCTAGACCTGTAGAGGATGTTTTCTCTAAAGTCTAGAACGTGTTCTTGGGTCATGGTTATGTTGAGGACATTGTCCTCTCTGTAGACAGTGAAGCTATGAGCCAAGCTACTGAATGAAGACTCATCTCCCAAGGATGATTGTATCCTCTGCTCACTCAGTGATGTCCTGGTTAGTGCATGTACACAGAGAAGACTTGCGCTGAAGCATCAACCTTGGGGCATCCCTGTGGTCACTCAGCAGGGATCTTTGTTCCCACTTTAACCACCTGTCACTGATCCAGGTGATACCCAAGGTCTGTCAGTTTAGTGGATAGGTTCACTCAATTTTGTTGAAGGCAGAGCTGTAATCCAGGAACAGAAGTGGCGCATGTTTGGAGAGTTGCAGTATTCTAAGCATGAAGTCTCTAAAACTTCCTGGTAGATGCTGCGTTGACCTTGGACCTCAGAAAACAGTGGACCAACACCAGCAGATGACATGGCACCAAACCATCACTGACTGAGGAAACTTGACACTGGACCTCAAGCAACGTGGATTCTGTGTCTCTCCTCTCTTCCTCCAGACTCTGGGACCTGGATTTTCAAAGGAAATGCAAAATGTTCTTTCATCAGAGAACATGACTTTGGACCACTCAGCAGCAGTCCCAGACAAGATGCTTCTGACGCTGTCTCTTGTTCAAGAGTGGCTTGACACAAGGAATGTGACAGCTGAAACCCATGTCTTGCATACGTCTGTGCATGGTGGTTTTTGAAGCACTGACTCCAGCTGCAGTCCACTCTTTGTGAATCTCCCCCACATTTTGGAATGGGTTTTGTTTCACCATCCTCTCCAGGGTTAATTAATGTGTTTGGACACAGAGCTCTGTGAACAGCCAGCCTCTTTAGCAATGACCTTTTGTGTCTTGTCCTCCTTGTGCAAGGTGTCAATGGTTTTGGACCATTTTTGACAACTGTCAAGTCAGCAGTCTCCCCCATGATTGTGTAGCTACAGAACTAGACTGAGACCATTTAAAGGCCTTTGCAGGTGTTTTCAGTTAATCAGCTGATTAGAGTGTGACACCAGGTGTTTTCAATATTGAACCTTTTCATAATCTAATTTTCTGAGACACTGAATTTGGGGTTTTCATTAGTTGTCAGTTACAATCATCAACATTAAAAGAAATGAACATTTTAAATATATCAGTCCGTGTGTAATGAATGAATATAATATACAAGTTTCACTTTTTGAATGGAATTATTGAAATAAATCAACTTTTTCATGATATTCTAATTTTATGAGCAGCACCTGTATCTCGTGAATCACTGGATGGATTTCACTGAAACTTTGAAATGACAGGATGAACAACTACAAGATGAACAACTACAGGATGAACAACTAC